GATAGATCTCAGATTCAGTATCTTTAGTTAGGTTTACTTGTGTAAGGTGTGAGATATAAGGTTTATTAAACACTGGAAAGAAAATGCTCTAAACTGTAGTGGTAATTCGCATTTCTCCCAATAATAAAATTTTAATAAAATTTATATATATAGATAAGTTAGAATATTTATTTATGACTTGAGTAGATGTAAATTCTGAATTCGTCGTATTTTGATCCAGCTTAGGAAAGCACTCACTGATTTAGGAATGGAACGTTTTTGAACTGAACTGAACTGAACTGAACTAGACACCGATTAGTTACGAGAAATGTAATTGGAAGTACAAAAAAAAACCCTGAAGGGCAGATCATGAAGTATATTTTTTGAAACAGAAGTACAACTGACCATTTTCAAAGTGATACACAAAAAAAATAGTATAAATATTACGAAAGTAAGTGATGTAAATAAAAAAAGTTGGATAACAGGGTTTTTATATTCTAAATGAAAATAATGGGATTGGTTTTTTTTTGTTTGTATATATGAAATTCTGTGTAGAGGCGAAATTCGTAACATAATTCCAGTAAGTACGATAAAATACTTTAGAAAGATTAATTAAAAAAAAAAATAAGATTTAAATTGTCAGAAATAATTAATGATAAAAATTGAAGAAATTTGAAAAATTTTGGATATCGGTGGGTAATTACGATTATGCTGAGTGAAATGAATGAGGCAGTGAGAGTGATGAAAATTGCATCGAAAAGAAGGTCTGAAATGCGAAGTACGTTTACGGGAAGAAGATATATATTTTTTAATAGATGATTTACAGACTCCCGGACTTACCAACAAAATTTATGGAGTCAGTAATACGGAATTTGATATATTATAAACCGACTTATGAACAATCCTTTGGAACAAAACTAGTTCGTAAGTCGGGGGATATCTGTACTATAAAAGGTAATATTTACCAGTAAAATTTATTTTTTTAAATAATAAAAACCAATATTAGGTTTACACTAACAATTCCATTTTAAAGAATTTTTATACTAAAACAAAATCTGCAACTCGACTGGGTGACAGTATTGATTTTTAAGGGTAGGTATTACTACCCTTTCAGAGATGGCTCTTTCAAAAGTTATATAAAAAAATATTAAAAAAAACGCATTTGAATCCATGATAGAAATTACTCTTATTGAAGCTGCGTGGGTGTTTTTGCATGTATTATGCAACGTTGTGCAACTGGTATAAATCAATAATGTTGCCGAGTGGAAAATGCAATTTATATTTTATTAATAAAGCTGGACACAAGACTGATTAGAAGTATCATAAAGATGTATTGGTTGGTATTAAAATCGTTTGGACATAAATTATCCAAATGGGGAACAGCAAATTCAACTAATATTAAAAAAAATCCAAGTATTCCAATTGCGAGTGCACCATGGTACATCACCAGGACCTTGGAATAAAAACAGTGGAAGAGTTTACCAAATATTTCTCCAAAAAATATTGATATTTTTGCTTGATGTTGAAAATTAGTTATAATTTTAAGGATTTCTTCTAAATATTTCTATTTTTTTTTTTCAAAATTTCTTAAATT